TATCTGAAAAAAATCTTAGAATACGAAAACATTGGTGAATGCCACAAATTCTCCTAAATCACTCGTACGCTCAACTTAAGAACAAATCTGTGCGTACCAACGGTTCTTGCATGAGGCCCAATGTTACCTAAAAATAAATAATAAATTGGGGTGGGTTATTTTTCAAAATCAACTTTTTTGAGCGTTATCTCACGTTATAATGRCATAACCTCATCAACACATGCCCAGAGTGTTGCTTTAACTCATTCAATGTTTGAGAAATCCTTGAATCTCCTGTGGCCATGTTGAGCTGCTTAAACACTTTCTCATACAAAGCTCCGCCTATTTATTCAAAGCTCCTCCCTGGAGCTCAGTCTGCAGCCGAGCTCCCGCGCCCAAAGCATTGTTTGAAAGTGTGCTGAAGTGGGATTGTCAGAAATGGTAGGAGGTTCTTAACGAGACAGAGGCCAATTTCAAGGTGTTTAGATAGACTATGATGAAAAGTCTAATTTATTTTTGATAAATACAGCTTTTCCATAACAGCTGAATGTAACAGCTACTTCGTACCTGGAAAACACACAACACCCCCACTTAAATGAAATATGTTGAGGTTTAAGGACTCAAATGTATTCTTGGAAATAAAGAGGTTTGCTTATCTGAGATGAGAAGTTTGTGTTTTTCCGTGTAAGTAAAAGAATAAACTGCTTCCGCAACAAGCACTCACCTGTCAATAAAATGGCTGAGTTGTCCGACTTCTCAAAAATCACCTGACTGTTGGCCAGCAACAAACCAACCTTTAAACAGATTATCACCAGTTTGAGACATTTCATTCAGGTTTCAGAGCAAAGCAGTGGGATTTACCGAGAGGGAATTCAAAGAAAACCCTTTAGGTACCTTCTTTCTGTAATCCTCAGACGCAGGTTTTCCCTTTAGGATGCTGGCATCCATCGTTTCAATATCTTTCACCACAACGTTGAAGAGCTTATCGATAAAACTAAACACCAGCTGCGACAACAAAGATAAAGATGGATTAGAATTTAAACAGGAACAAACTGGGACGTTGTTTGGACAGAATATTTAAGGGAGGAGAACCTGCTGTCCCACGGTGAAGGCCTGGTTGTTGAAGAGCTGCAGGAACTCTTTGGCCATCTTGTCGGAGTCGTAGGGGCTACTGTCCACAAACTTCTTCTGCAGGAAGTCGATTTCCACCGTCATGTTGCTGATGCAGCCTTTGGACTTGTCAAACTTGTAGTTTGTTACTGTGAGGCGGGAAACAGCAGGAGGAGAGTTTATAGTTCTTGTGTTGAAAAAATGATTTCATTGTATTTGTCGTTTATTTGTAGAGGTACAAGTACACTAAAACATWTATAGCCTAGTTTGCAATGCCAYCCCCTAGATGGGCTTTAAGCAACATGAAAATAAAGCCTCGTCGACATGATCCAGCKAGGAAGAATTTAGTCAACAGATCAAGGCCGTTGTAGGGGAGAGCCAGATTCTGTAATCAGTTGTTTTGGGAACAGAAAGAGTCAGACAGACGAGAACAATTTTCCATCTGCGTTAGTGTTCTGCTGGTGCATCTCAAGGTGGCGAATCCAATCAGGCAAATAGRGTGGACAAAATGCTTCAGTCTTGATCTAAAATGGTTCCAGTCTGAAATTTAATTTAGTGAAACCTTAAATTAAATAAATAAACAAACAAACAAAAAAAAAAACTCTAATCTCATGTGAACCTTATGACTGTCTAACTTTCAAGGTGGCAGAAAATAAGAAATAAACAGAAGCCAACAAAGCATCTTGTTTAAAACAGATGTGGAACCTAATCTGCAGCCGTTGTTTCACACATTTTAGGTAATAAATAAAGTATGTAGGTTTATACAAGTTTAACAAAAGTATTTTTTAAATTTAATCCAAAACTAAAAAAAGAGTCATGGCTCTTTTGTCTTTTGTCAAAGAACATTGAAAACAAGATGAAGCTTATTCTTTTTCTGAGGACCTGGACTAAATGTGCAGCCCTTCTTTTTTTTACTCCTGAGATGAGGACAGTCTGATAAAAGCCTGGATCAGGTCCAAACACCTCGGCCTCYGGGAGTTCAGGGAAAGTTTTGTCAAAGACGACTTTCTGGATGCTGGCCAGCCTCTGAGACAGATGTGCAGTGACACCCCCCACCCTCACCTGCAGGGTAAGTCACATTCCATGAAGCCCGTGTGTCACTTGACCCCACATCTGTTGGAAATCAGCTTTACATGATGCATCAGGAAGAGAAAGGTCTGCAGCCTTTAAAGTCAGGCTAATGTGAACTTATCAGATTCTTCCTAATCTGACAGGAGTTTTTAACTCTGAGGTGAAACCATCGAGTTATAGAAGACAGCAGGACCTGCACAAACTTGATGTAAAACTGATTTTCTGTATTATATATTAATTAGCTCCCAACTGCAACTCCTCAGACATTTGCTTATAAAATGTAAACTGTTTATTACACGTGTACCAGTTTTTATTCTGTGCTCAAGCATCTAGTTATTCAGTGGTAGGAGCAATTTACTTTGTAAGATTCAAAAGGAACTCCTACAGTTTAGTTTGCATATAAGAAATTTGTGTTTTAGCCACATTTTCAGCTACTTTTTAGGGACTGTGTTAAAAGATCACATACTGCCCTCTTGTGTCCAAAAAGTGAAGCTTCAACAAGTAAAAAATGCACTCAGCTTACCTTTAAAGTCATCTCCAAGCACAATGCCTGCCCATTTTCTCTGTAAAAAAAAAGGATTAAATAGTTCAAATAGTTGCTTTAGTTTTACTCGTTTTACTAATATAAAAACACAATTTGCTACAAAGAATTCAGAAATAAAAGGTAAAGATTGATTCACAAAACTACCAAACAGAAGACGACTGCACGTTTCACAACGCAGCTGGTCTTATTTCACAGAGTTCATTCATGWGTTAAGATTTTTTTTTTTACAAGCTGGTTTTGATAAAGAGGACTTTGTTGGTTAATTCTTGTAAAATAAGACCATCTTGAGGAAGTTACAGCAGTACCTGTGTCCTGAAGGAGAGCAGGCAGAGGGAAAATAAAGAGGGGTGAAAGAGCAGCAACAGACTGACAGATAAACAAATTATTCAAAAAGCTCACAGAAACAGGGGTTCGAGAACCAGAAAAGTCAACTTAATATCAGTGTTTTTGACTGCTTATTAGATAAAAAATTAAATGATTGAAAGGTTTTTAATAAATCTGTATTTCTAGCCTTTCTTTATGTCCTCGACAGCAAGAGTCAGACAAACGTACCTGCGGCAGGCTGAAAGCAATGCAGCCGACGTTCACTTCGGGATGCATCCTCACGGTGAACACGTACTCGTGTTTGTTGTAKACGCTGACGTGTCTGCGCAGAAAAGACATATTAAATTATTTCCAAAGAACAAGTGCACAACCAGCTTTAAATGACACGTTTTAATTCTGTAACTCTGCTGTGTTACATTAGAGTCACATGAAAAGGTTTGACACGAATCAAAATCAAGAAAAGCTTCTAARTCTTTTAAAGCCTGATGGCAAATTGGACCCGTTTTCCCTCTAAAGCGTCTGCGCTACGTCAGAAAATCTAAAGCTTACTGCTCCAGGTGTGGCTCCTTTTCATTAAGGACAACACAGTTGGTCAGAGACAGCTCTTCTGTTGGGCATCGAACCGCCTTCAACGTCTAAAACAGGAACAGAAAAAAAAAAGTTTGACTCCACTGAGGAAGAATGGACAGAACTGCACATTTTAAACAAATATTTTAACTTGTTGACTCTGCTGCCTTGTCTAAAAACCTTCAGGTATCATATTAGGCATAAAAGGTGGTTACTATCAGAAACACTTTTTCATTTGTTTTGAAGGAGACTCTACTTAAAGAACACTATGAATAAATAAAGCAACTACTATCCAGCCAGTCCACCTGCTAAGAATGACAACAAATTTAAAGTGCAACAAAAACACTCCTGAAGCTAAAAGAAACAGGTATCTAATGATGCAAATGTCAATCAAAATAACCAATTTAAATCATTATAATTACAAAGTTTAAATGTATGACTGAGCTGATGTGTTCTAGTCATTTCCATATTGGAACAGGAAATAAACTGTTTGTTTACACTGCAGAAGCTTAAAGTGAAAGTTTTACATTTTTCTTGTTAATTTTATGACTGTTTTTGTATACTTTTAGCCACTAAAATCATGTGACACTTCCTTTATTTTGGAACTTAAACTTCACCGGTGCTTCTTGTACAGTCATGATTAGCATTATGTATTCACTAAAATTCAACAACCACATATGGACGCCACAAGTTAGGCGCTTGTTTTTGTGTTTTTTTATACAAACAAACATTAAAGCTTCTAGAAATATTCATAGAACCAACATTAGTGACTGTTAGCAGCAGTGAATCCGGTCATGAGATTCGTCTTCCGGGCTGACAGCTAACTTTTGAATGACAAGACAATCTGCCACACAGGCACGTCAGGTGCTAGCTAACTGTAGGTGTAAAAAAAAAAAAGGTTTCCAGATTAAATGTCAGCTTTAATAGTCAGTATTTTCCTTCGCAGTGATTTTTTTTAGCTTTAATATTCATAACAAATGAAAACTCACCCGTGAGGCCATCTTTGTTGTATTCTTTAAACTCCAGTTCGAGGGAAACAGGACATCAGAGTTCCGCTGACAAAACGACGCAAATGATAGACGTACCAGGAGGCGGGGTTTGTGTACGTGGCCTTACGTAGCCACGCACGCTACGCAGAAGACGTAAACAGATGCGCTCTAAAAACTTCTCGAAGAGATTTTCTCTGGTTCCTTTTTAGAGTATTTTAGCTAAATTGGTAAAGTTGAATATAAAAATAAAGTTGATTAAAGCAATGTGAATAAAACTGCTCGTTTTATAATCATAAACCAAAAAGGCAAAAAATATGATTAAAAAATTATCTAACATAGTAATTAGCTGAAAAAACAAGATAAAAATATTTCGCTGAAAATTTTGTTTTCAACAGTGTTGCTTAGATATATTTGTAGTGCAGTATACATTCTAGATCAGCAATTTAAAACTTAAAATATTGCACAATACATTATGCTGTAAGTTTAATAGTTTTTAACGTTTTTAAGCAAATAAAAAAAGTTTATTTTGTTTTA